ATTATTATTATTATTATTATTATTAATATTATTAATATTATCTGGTATATACTTTTGACGTCAGTTTTAAATTCCACGATGATAGAAGAATTCTGAATTACTTCTCTTTCTTTTTCAGGAAAAAAAATCAGTGTCAATCGGAAAATTAGCGCTTTTCAAGCAAGCATTAAAACCATTGTCTCTGCTACACCAAGATTAACATTGCTTCTGATCTTTATCGCCTATCTCATATCTGACCATACTTTGACGCCTGCGTCCGTATTTGCTGTTTTCGCTTATGCAAGGGTTTTGGGTCTGTTTACCAAGCATCTTGGGAAACTATTGGGTCCATTCCTAGATTGCAACATGTCCGTTGGAAGGATTCCGACATTTTTGGAAATGGTGGAAAGATCTAGTTCAGATAGCAATTCAAACAGCACGACTGAAAAAAATAGGGAAATGCTTCGATGAAGAGGAATGCTATGCGCCCTGGAATGGATATGCACAGGGTCAGAAACTGAAGCTGATGGTTTCTTTAACGGATGTTTGTTGTAAATATGAGGATGACGAGAAGCAGCTACTAAAAAATGTCAGCATACAGGTAGACGGACCACTAAACCTTATGATTACCGGTCCAGTTGGCAGTGGCAAATCTTCGTTGCTTCTTGCTATTCTTGGAGAGCTATCCATCTTCAAAGGAATTCTCTAAAGCAAAGAAAAAATGACATTCGTTGGGCAGTCACCTCGAGTATTCTCAGGAACACTCCGTGACAATGTCACGTTTCACAGATCGGTTGATTCCACAAAGTTTTAAACAACCGTGCTTGAAAGAAACAAGTTTGACAATTCCCAAGAAGGTTCGTAACTTCGGAGTTGTGTCGTACAGAACATACTGGAAATACTTCAGAGCTGGCCTACCTGTGTACATGATGATTCTACTTGTTTTGTCATCTAACGGCGCCTTAGGTGAGTATGTTGTATCTTATCATGATGTCCAAATAAAAATATATTAAAGATACACTTTAATTTTCCTTCACCACTTTCCAGCCGTTTCTTAGATCTGAGATTCCAGAGCTTTTCTTCTTTGAATTTAGCATTTAAGAGTTTAAAGGCATTTCAAGCAGTTGGTTTTGTGTTGTACTCAGTGTATTTCAAACCAAATAGAAATATGCCGGTCACGTCTGAACTTTCCGAAAGTGGACGCACGAGGTGTGTGTGAAGGTAACCTTGAACACTCGGAGGTTTGGTGGTAGTTCACCAAACGTGTGTTCATTTGTAGCTTTAATTTGATGTAGAGAACTTGAATTCTCTGTTGTTGGAGAGTCTCTTGCAAAGCCTATTTTGGTTTGTATCTGTACGGAGTTCGGGCTCATTGCTCAAAGCAAGATTACCACAGTCCAGGGTCGGTGTGATTTAGTGCAAAGCATCAAAATCAAATTGTAATCTCAATTGGGTCGAGGGCAGACTTCCACTAAATTAAAAGATTGCGAGGAATAATATCTACGGGTAAATTTTTCCGGTTCTTACTGTTGTTGTTATTATTATTATTATTATTATTATTATTATTATTATTTTTGATGATGATGATGATGATGATGAGGATAATGATGATGATGACGTTTTTATTGATTTTGGTGTACAGTGTCAGTGTCAGTATTCGTACTGTCGGTAATGGACTGGAACTAGCTATTAATGGAGGCTCATGCAGGCGAAATCATTGAAAAGGGAAAAATGCCATTTGCATTTAAAAAGACTCTCCGCACTGGCCTCAGCTGCACGCTTGTTCCAGTCCTGTACTGAGAATACGAATATGGTCTATTGTATTCATTTATTGTGGGCCTCAGAAAGTTAAGCTTGAAGTGAAGCAGGCCGAGGCCGGCTTCCGAACTGTGATTCTTATTTAATACACCTTTTGCTGTTCATTTACAGAAAATATCCATTCATTTGTGTTCAAATTTGTTTCATTATGGTTAACATACTCTCATTAACAACAATATGACATTCATTTGCGCGTAAGAAACGTTCAAGAATAACATTTGCATATGTATTAACATTCAAAATCATCAAAAGATAAACAATATCTTCCCTTGACAGTCATTGGCTGTAAAAGTATTTTCATTTTTGTCGAAATAAAATTCGTTGTCACGAAACGACAATCATGTACAATTTTGGACAATCCTTTTTCAACAAAAGACTTTCAATAACAGAATTTGCATGAGCACTCACAATCAATTGCNTCGCAAAAGGTATATGAAGATACAAGTATAAAACTTGCAAAGAAATAATATACATCATTTTTCGGTCAACACAACCTTTAATTCTAACATCGCTTGCAACTGAACATGCAGTTCACCCTCGTCAACTATCACGCGATAGTAATCTCGAGCTCATAATCTAATTGTTTGATGTATCTTCTGCTCTAACTTTTCTTTTTATTTCCAGCCATTTGGCGAGGGTCTTGTGACAGTCACGGTGCCTCAACTGCTTCGAGGTGAACACAGTTTGTCGCTATGGAACATCCCAGATATCAACTCGCCCAAGCCCACTCCAGTGAACACATTTGTTGGGCACAGTCATGTTGTGTTAGAATTCCAGTGGAGATCACAAGTGCTGGATGGTAAGCCTGTTTATTATGGAATTGATCTCTGTTCATGCTGAAGGGAGGGGAGGGAGGGGCATCCCAAAGATGGCTGCTCACAGATGACGACCTGGTCACGTGGCCTTGTTTAACCTATTTAAAAAACGTAGTTCAAAAACTAAAAGAACAGCTCATTATAAGACTGACGAGGAATAGTTGTAAAACACCATAATGTTCGTCTGTCCGATTTTCCAAAAACATGCCCGCAGATTTGAACCCCTCCATTCCGTTAGCTTGTGATTTTTTTCCTTTTTTGAGGGGCTTTCCTAATGGGAGCAGCTTATAGAGCTTACCTAGCATGAAATGTAGAGAACTTCTTGCTGTTATCTATTTTTTATTACACCTTTTGCTGTTCATTTACAGAAAATATCCATTTATTTGTGTTCAAATTTGTTTCATTATGGTTAATATACTCTCATTATCTCCAATATGACATTCATTTGCGCGTAACGAACGTTCAAGAATAACATTTGCATAGGTATTAACATTAAAAATCATCAAAAGATAAACGATATATTCCCTTGACATTCACTGGCTGTAAATATATTTTCATTTTTGTCGAAATAAAATTCATTGTCACGAAACGACAATCATTTACACTTTTGGACAATCCTTTTTCAACAAAAGACTTTCAATAACACAATTTGCATGAGCACTCACAATCAATTACATTATTATACAACCATATCCGTGAAGGTGACAATCTTTAGTACGTTGAGACAGACATTACCGTGTTTTCACCTAACGTTAAGAGAAAACAATAGCTCATTAGCGTAATTCTTTTGAACAGAGATATCGCGCCCAATTTTCCTCGAAAATTTGATTATAGAACTAGGGACCGTATGTACATTTTTTTAAATCGTATTTTCACAATCCTCACCTTGCAGATATAAATTCAGCCTCTTACGAACCTTTTGCGTACAACTCAGGGGGCGCACTACAGTATACATGTGATAAAGTGACAGTTAGATTTCCCCACAAATGCCACGATGAAATAGAATCCCATTTGAACACAGCGAAAGGATGATCAGGGCCTAAATGTGGACAATGGTATCGTTTCATCCAAACATATTTGCCACGATCCCTCAATAGTTAGGCAATTGAGGGATAAATTGTTCAGCAAATTTGATATTCNAGACAGCAAAGATCTTTAGCCACATCAATTTAGGGCTTAGACGTGCAATGGACTAGACATTTCTAGCTGCTGTTGGCGTTATTTGGTCTGAACTTTGATTTGGCTAAAGACTTAGCCAAAAAATCTGTTGAAGTCTGGATATGCCATTTCCCACTCGACAAAATTCACGTACATCCGGGACATTGCTATTTGCGAGCAAAACATGGCCACGAGCAGAGTGAAGAACATTAGGTCAAGCGCTGATCGTGAGTAGAATTTCCTTGTTTTATCAATTTTTGGCGTTCTCGGGCTAGCTAACTATCAGAACTGTCTGTGATTCGCTTTCGCGGAAGAAATTTATTTGCATAACGACAACATGTTGAGTGTTCGCTAACCGTCATAATTATGGCCTAGTTTGTTTGAAGTTCAATCGATTCTCAATGTAGGAAGCTCTTGTTCAGTCCGTTTATGACGATGCAGGTTTTAGAAAGCTATAGATCAGCTCTCTGCCGCAGTTTTGACATCTGTACGTTCGTGTTCATTTAGACTCCAATTTCATGTTAAAAGCACTCTTAAATAAATTGTACAATTCATGATTCAACGAAATGACGGTCAATTTAGTCTTCCTGGCCTCAAAAGGCATACAGGAGAGTTATTTCCTTTCATTTGAGTTACGATAAGCCTTGTGGAAAGCTAGCTCTCGGACAGAATTGTATTATCAGTGACAAATCAAATTTTGTGGCTATGTTTTTGCGAATCCAGACAGATGTATGTAGCTTGAAATCAAGGCAAGCTAGAAAATGGTGTGAATCAACAACCTCGAGTGAAAATGAAAAAAAAGAGATTATTACAACAAAGGAAACCAAAACATTCTCTCCGTCACGCAACGTTTCTCCGACTAACGGAGTTGCGTGACAACCCTTTTTAATGCAAAGAAGACTGCTATATAGCGTCTTCTGTTATTAATGTAATCAATGAATTATTTTGTAATTTACTGTCATTGTGATGTAACTTTATTGCTGCGATATATCCAACATAAAAATTGTTATTAATTTATTTTTTTGTAACCTTTGAGCATTACACTTTCAGTTTCTTCCAGGCAAGAAAAACATGTTTACACAAATTCAATGCAGTTTCAAGTTTTCAGTTGAACAAGCTAACGAACTCTGTTTTAATCTTTCCTTATCGCATCTGTCTGTTATTACAATCCCAGATGAGGAGCAGTTTCAACTTGTCACGTGGGCTAAAGATTCCACACTCCGACTGTGGGCAATGGAACCAAGAATGCTCATGGTGAGTTCAAGGGAGTTTTTCAACTTGTGGACTGACGAGCTCTGAAAATAAAGCCGTGGCCAAACGGACCAGCAAGTAGCCGCAAGTTGAAATCGCAAAAACACCATTTCAAGGCAGACATATCTTGTATTTCATTGGCCAATAGGTTTCTATAACAACGAATGGACGTCACTCAACTTGCGTTGACTTGGGTTGGGTGGCCAAACGGTAAAAACTTGCGTTAACTTGCCTGCAAATTTGATCTCGGCTAAAGTGAGCGCAAGTCATCGCAAGTCAACGCAAGTGCGCGCAAGGCATGGCCAAACAGAGTCGCAAGTAGACCCAGCTTTTCAACTTGCGTCTACGTGCGAGTCCATTTGACCATGGCTCTAAGGCATTTTTTTGCTGTCCATACATTTCTGTTAGAACTAATTGAGAAAAGTCATCTGTTTAAAAAGTTAAACCAATTGCCCCAGGTGATCAATTGCCTTGTTCTCATTACCCGCACGCCTGTGTGAAGAGAATTCACATTTAGTGGCAGTGGAAGATGTTGGCTTTTTCCATCCATCAGAGTCAAAACTATGCTTGTGCTTTCAAGCATAATCATCGTCGGCCATCTTGTTTTACTGTATCGAGGAGGTATGGAACCGAAAATTAGGCAATTATCCATTTTGTGCATGCGAGCGTGCGCATACTTATGTTGCGGGCGTTCTCACTACCGTTAAGCTTATGTTTGTACTTATGTCGTTGTGAAAACCAGGCTAACTTTGAACTTTGATTCTCTTCAATCTTTGCTAACCTCGTTTCCTTTGGGTTTTTGGGACATTTTGAGTTCTTCGATTGAAAAGCAATGTTTACATCGCAAAAAGTGCTACACATCCTTTAATTGTTTGTCTTGTTGGCGGGCAGAATGGATTTAAGCGTAAGTCTAACTAAAGTAGCCGAGCACAGAGGGAGAAAAATGCAAAGACCGGACGTTGTAAAGCCAGAGGACTAGGTAAAACCACGAATGACTTTGAGAAAGTCTATCGTTGAGTGAAGAGAGTTTCTTTAAAGTACTCTCAGTTACTGCGCACTCAGTGATTGGTCAGAAAATCGTATTGTACGGTCCTTACTGTAAGTTATGGATCCTCGTTTTATTCCCCTTCGAAAAACTTACAGTACGGACCTCGAACTCGGTTAGTTAGAGGTATTGCTTTCTATATGTGCAATACATCCTTATTTCCTCCTAATAGGCTTGCAGCGGAGATGTTCCAGAGAATTTTCCATCTCAGACCACAAGCGAGACGGGCCTGGCCATACGGGACGATTTGATAGAGACGGCTATTTCAGAGTCCGTTATAATTGGTTCGGCTGAAGTGATTCCTGATATGGCTGTTCAACCGCATACCTTACAACAGGAGTTTGCGCTGATCAATGTTAACATCCCTAATGTGATCGTTGAACAGGTAAAATGGAACACCCTTGCATTGCCCTTAGCTTGTTTACCCTCCGTGACTGAATCAGAATATTTTTTAAAAAGCCATTTAAAGCTGTAATGTACATTTTTGCTTCTTTCCTTTTCTAAAACGTTTGAATGGATATGAAAAATATCAGGTTATTTACATGTTCAATTAAAGGGTTTGGTCAAAAACTTTGCTTAGTGGCGAATTTATCGAAATAGAGTTGCACCATGTTAGCTCGTTTTTGCATGCAGACTATTTCGTGTTTTAACCATGTTGATGATTGATTGAAAGTTAGTTTTAACTTGTAGAAGACTTAATTTCAAAGAAATTTGCTAGTTGCACTGTAGCAACGCTGGTATATAGTTCGTTGTTTAAGTTCTATCAAAAGTAGTGATGGGTTTTGCTTTGTTTATTAAAACGTTTTTCCGTATTCATTGGAAACATTAGGGAATTTAAGAAAACGGCAAAGGGAACGTCGCTTAACAAAAGGTTTAATGAGCAGGACAATATCTGAGCGCGTGCGTTATAATTCTTGGAACATTTCTTTGCCGTCCTCTGAAACAACAACATGAAATGATCAAATTCTGCGTTGTCTGGAGAACGTGAACCACGATGGCACTTTTTTAAAGTTTTTATTTCAAATTTATCGCTTTGCCCCTGATTCAGTTTCGTGATAGTTTTGACAGTGATAAACAAAGTAAATGACTTTAGAGTATCGCGAAATTTGCAGGTAAAATATAAAACATTTTTTAATGGGCATTGTCCTCGGTGTCGCCCTCGAGGTTACTTAAACTCTCTAGCACTTCAAGATACGGCGAAACTTAGGGTTAGGTGAAGACTTTTAGCTCAAATTTGAAATTGTTTCTCTTTTTAGATGGACGCAGGTCATAGAAGCTGTACAGTGAATGTTACCAATGGCCCTAATGTTGTATCGTTAGTAATAAACTTCCCCAAACACTATCCTAACAACGCCATACCATCATTTGAATTTACACCTGACACCTCCATTGACCTGAACACCAAGACCAAACTTATGAAGGTAAGTAAGAAATAGACCGTACTGCCTTTTACCTGGTCTGTGCAATACACCTTTAAAGGTAGAAATTCTAACGCGAGAGTCCGAGTCTTACCACATTTCCAAATACCGAATAGAGAGTTGAAAAAACGACGCGCAACGGAGTATTTTCTCGGTTTTTCGAAATCAACTCCAAGGTGTTTGGAAATGTGGTCAAACACTGTCTCGAGTGGTTGATATATCTTCCCAAAAGAAACTAAAACTATCAAGGAAGTAACGGTGAGATAAAATCGTGAAAATATATGCTAATTAAGATCAGATATCCCAACACCGTCTCGGTTATGATTTCCATTGGTTTGAGAAAATTGGGTGCTGTAGAATTCCGAAAGTAACGTTAATTTTTAAACTTCTACAATCCCGGACAAAAATCTTGGGGCACCAAGCAAGTTCTCCCCTCCCCCCACTTACAATGTTGATAATCAGGTGATTTTTTTCCCCTTTTTGTTGAAAACAAACCCGACATTTTCCAACATTGATTAGGGGAGATGGGGGATACGAGATGCAGCTCAACTGTCCCAACTACTTTTGCCCGGATTTTAGTTATCCAGGTAGATTAAGCGGCCCCTTCAAGAATGTCACTGAAGTCTTCTTCCTTTTAATGTAACTTTTGATGTAATGTGGTGGGTAAACACAAATACCTGAAAATTAAAAAAAAAAGAAACAAACAAACAAACAAACAGCGAAAACTACTTTGAAACGATAAGTTTTTATAATACGGAAGCATTTACATTTAACATACCACACAAAGTAGATAATCAACACATTCTTATCCACCTGGTTTATTATAATTTAATGGCTCAAAACGGCGTTATGCACGAATACTTCTGAACCAGGTTGGATCAGGCTTTGAAACCTTGCTAGGTCAATTTTATTCTGCCAAGCAAGAAGCTTCCGAGACAAACTATGTAAAAGAGGTTTCTTCATTGTTGCTCTTTCGCTTTTTTCCTGGTAGACTTTACGTGAAACAGCTCAGACACATGTGAAGTTGAACCAGACTTGCCTTGAGCCGTGCCTTCGTCAACTGGTCAGCCATCTTGAGGAATTAACGGTCAGTTTAAACGAAAGCAGCCGGTTTCAACCTGTTATACAGAGGAAGTTTAATAGGCCATTTCCGAATTACCTTTAACTTCTTTCTCAAAACGAGTCTCGGTGCCCATCCTTTCAATTGTAAATGAGATTTCACTCACATGCAAATTAAACACATTTTCAAATACATTTACAAATTAAACTCATTTTCGATACCGGTTGTTCTCTGCTAGTTTCGCGCCATGTTGCCTTTCAATATCTTTCAAGACCGCTGACTAGGAAAGTTGTTTCACGTTTGTGAAGCGCTGAGGAGAGTGTTGGCTGTTGGGTACCCCCTGCACTTCGTAGCGAGTAAAGCCTCGCTGTCTTGTAATTTCAAGAGATTGTGGGTCGCTTAAAGACTAAACTCTGCCAATTGGGAATCTATCTTTCAGTTTATTTCAGTTTAAGTGGCATGCCTGTGAACCAGCTATGTGTAGCTAGGCGCATTGACCCCTATGAACATTTAATATTTAACAAATTTTTTTTCCTTGCGAATATTTTTGTGATTATTTTCATCCACACAGCTTCAAGAAGACTTACCTATGGACCAATACACCTCCACTGTTCCCCAGCTTCACGGCCGGCTCGACCCAGTCTCCTATGGTAGTTACTCAGACGCAGCTATTCCCTTTCCTCGCACATCTGGCGCCAAATTCTGTGCCTGTGGTGAGCTGATTTAGCAAAAGCGATATTAAAAATGCGTGTCTTCAGTTTTAACTGATCCGGTCATGAAATGTTCCATCAGACTGCTTTGGTTCGATTTCGTTCCAATATATCTTTTCTAGTAAATTCTGATTTCTGAATTCCCTGAGGTGCTTCTGATTCGTATTGACCAATCTCTTGTGCTCGGCTCCGACAAGATACGTTAACGTCATAACAGAGAAACCAGCAAGACCAGCCTGACATCAAAATTCATCAACATCAAAATTCTTGAGTACCATCAAACTTGCTAGTGGGTTTTAAATAATTTCCTGGGTCAAGCTTGCTTCTCTTGCGCTTGACGCAGATCGCACGTTTTTGCCTCGAGTTCTAATTGGTCAACTTGGTTGTTTGGGTTTGTTGTTCTATTGCTGTAACCTTTCTATACTTAGTGTATGCCAACAAATTAAAGGAGAAGGGACTCTTACCATCGAGTGAAAAAATGTTTGATAACCAAACTCTCGTATAAACCTGAATGGGTAGAAAAATTGGCAGTGAGATATTAAATGAGTTTGAGCTGTATGCCGCTGCTCTCATCCGCCTGTATTTGTCAATCCATTATTTTTTTTTATTATTTCTCAGGATTACTGGTGTGCTTTAATTTACCTGGAAGATATAGCGGCCGTGTGGGGTCTGGTGGAGAACCTACTCCAAGGTACCACACCACTTTTAGTATTTACTCAGAAAATATCACATCACCTTGGTACATTGTTGTGTACTTCAACAAAGTAATAAATCTTGATCATTTAAAAACTGCTTTGATGTTCTCTTAATCTGACCAATGCAATTATTTGCTGTGCATGTGTCTTTTTAAAGTTGATTCCCTTCTTGTCCCCAGCGCGTCGTGTCCTTCTTAGCTGACGGGGCCTTGGAACGAAAAAAAAAAAAGGTGGCTGGAGAGACACATTTGATTTGTTAGAGACTTGAACTGAAGTTGTCACTATTCAACGCTGGTTTTCTCGCAAAGAAATATCCACTGACTGATCTCTAATTAAAAGCGTTCGATTGTACAGCATCTACAGACCTTCAAGAAGTTTAAAACCGGCTTACGGCGAGAGTTTTCAGTGAAGTTCTCCACAATAAAACATGTAAATGTGACTTCCGATCAGAATTTTACTGCACATTTAAATTGCGTTCATGAAAATCTGGGCTGTAGGGCTATAATCGAACCAGTGGATGTTTCCCAAAAGAAAACCAGCGTCGAATTATTAAAAGTGTGAGTCAAAAAACTTAGCAATCAAATTATGTGTCTCCAGAGTCACCCTTTCCTCGATCCAAGGCTCCGCCGGCTAATGGGCAGAGGTGGCTCTGGGGACGAGAATAATTTGTTACATTCCTCTTTTCTTTCCACCAGGTCTCTCTCGGCCTTCTCGGCGTACAGTTCTCGCCCCAGTAGTGGCCCGGCCCTTCCGCCCCTCATTAACAGCTCGCTTCACAAATCTCATCACAGTCATACATTTAGTTCATTTGGTCAGCAGTCTACCTCAAGGACCATGCTTTACAGGACGTTTAGTCAGGTTAGCGGAAAAGGCAGTTCGTGGCAGTCTCAATGTGGTGCTATGATAATGGACCTCTTCAGAATGAAAAGGATTATCCGAGTGACTTGTATTCAATTTCGAGTCTATATTGGCGAAGGACCAAGTAATTTAGCTAGAATTATTATATACTGAGGTCGCAATTTCCTTTCTGTGAGCTTAAATTGATTCTGGATATTTTTCAGCATAGCTTCAGGGATTCAGTTTTGCCATCACTTGAGAACGGTTACGTAGCCACCATGTTTTATTTGTGTGCGTCAATCGGATTTCGGACGTTGAAATAAAGCAAAAAGTGGATTATGTGCGTGCGACAAAAGGCAACAACATCCACGAAAGTAGCCGAGGAAGTATTAAAAGACTATCTAAAGACTAATCTAATCTACTCTACTAATCTAAATGATCACAAAAAACTAAGATTAAGCACCGAACAAATGGAGTCTCCATTCAGTGTTTAGACTAAACTGATTTTGCGCACCACTGTCAGGGGTTTCATTAAGGGCTGCACACCAAGTAAATTGACCAGCTGTGAGGATGATTTTGCCCGCCTGGTTTGACCATCTAACGTTAAGTGTCTCATATAGAGGTTCACTTCAAAACGTTTTCCTCGCCTGTGAAAACTAGTCGCCTCCCTGCCGAAAACGTTACTGAAGCCTCTGCCACCACTGGATGAAAGTTATCTACATAATTTTCTTTGTATAAAAACAATTATTGGATTTGGATTCGGATTTTGGTGATATCCTTAATAAATAGGTGTTACGGTAAGAGTTTTTGGCCTCAACTTTCGGCTTCGGCTAATAAGACATTAACTATTCTAGGTTATTACGAAAACCCAAAGCCAATAGTTTGTTTTCTAGGCGAGAGATCAGGAGCAAATTTCTTTTTACTCTTCCCAAACATTTTCTTACATTCTCCCTGAAGAATCTGGTTTTTAAGTTTTGTGTTCAAGTTCCTCATCCTCATAACCTGTCTGGTTGAATTTGAATAAAAAGGACAAAGAGAATTTAGAAATTGATCCCTTCTCATTTCTTTTTATTGTTGGATGTTCGCATTTCACAGCAAGAGGATCTGCAAGAGGGACAAAAGTATAGTGGGGTTACCTCACGGAACAGCGATGTTGGCCTCGTTGTGATTCGTGACGTCAGCGTCATGATGCCCATTCATCAGTCACTGGGACAAGCTTACACGTAAGTGCCAATTTCTTGCGTGCGTGTTTCCTTTTGGCAGACAATCACGCAATCCAACAGGCCAGGTGACTTACCTAACAGCGACTGTCAAGCCTTTTCGTCAATAAAGGGAGGACCGGCTGAATCCTTTTTGCCCTTCATGAGGCAAAAGAAAAAAACAACAGCCATAAACTTCTTTTCAACCTAGGAATCTCGGATGTTATCTATACAACGTGTAAGAATTTGCAAGGAAACAGATTTGTCTTGGCTTTGATAACCTTCAGAAGGTATTTTCCCCACACTTATTCTAATGACGGTGAGGATTTGAGAAACCGTAAAAACTCTGTGAAACACCCGAGAGTTTGTTTCTTTTGAAAACCATTTTTGCAGGGTTGGGGATTGTAAGTGACGGGAAAGTTTATCACGTCATTAATCAATTCTGTTTAATCGAACATTTTCTAAAAAGAGTTCCAGTAAAAACTAATGCGATGGACGGATGGTTCTAAAAAAAAAACCCGTCTTGTCTTGGTTCATAATGTTGAGAGGTGAAAATCTTTGTAGAAATTGGCTGTTTTTCTTAGGGTCTTTTTAAGGAGGGTGTTTAAAGAGAGGGAGATAATAGCATAATTTTTACTGTATGTTTTAACGGCGAGTTGAAAAATTCAGTTATTACTTTCTATTTTTCATTTTTGTAAACTTTTACTCTAAATTTGTCCTCAAGGCTTGAAGGAAATGATATCAGTGAAATTTGTAAAAAGAACTTATCAGCTGCCATGACTACCGGCCGCAAAGACCTGGTGCAGACTTGGTCCTTATTGAGCTTAGTCCTCGACAAGAAACTCGCGCCCTCCGACTCGATGGATGAGTCTCCCTGGGCACTACATCCGTTTGGTCGGAAGATGGTCAGTTCACTGTGAGTATATTTTAGCCCGTCATAACGAGAAGTCATTTGTTAATAATTCTTCTAAAACGAAAGGAAGAAACTTCAGAATTCTGATTCATTTTACCCTGACCAATCAGAGTAACCATGCCGAATTTTAAATCAATCAGGAGCACAACCAACGTCACTCGTGACTGAGCTCGATGGTGTTTTCCCGCGCTTGCGCTGGTCGCATGTTTTACCGTGGTTGGCGCCGGTTGCATGTTTTCCCGCGCTTGCCGCCGGTCGCATCTTTTCCCGCGCTTGGCGTCGGTTGCATGTTTTCCCGCGCTCGGCGCCTGTTGCATGTTTTCCTGCGCTTTGCGCCGATTGCATGTTTTTCCGCTCGGCACAGGTTGCATGTTTTTCCCCGCTTGACGTCGGTTGCATGGCTTGCAGTTCGAGTTCTGGTTGTTTCGTTGCGTTAAATACCTTTTACCATGATTGGCCAGGCTCATTTGAACTAGCAACTCTCATGCACGCAGTCTTCCAACTTTACTTCTCGCTGACCGTGTTTTGTTCAATCTGAGTACGCCTTTTATCGAGGTGGCACTGTAGCAGCAGTAAATTTAGCTACTAAACTTTTCGATCACCTTTGCCTTTCTAATCAACAGAATGGACTATTACCTAAGCATCCGGGATATTCAGATGCTAGGAATGCTGTCATGTGTGCTGGCTCATCCCTCTCTTCCAGACTCCTTCAAACCGCCTAGAACCCACTCCAAGCCAGAAATCATCACCTCAAGCAAGTCTTTTACGTATGGCTCTTCTCCACACAGTTCAGACGTCTCTCACCAGGTACGTAGCCGGCGGGAGGATTTGCGGACAGAAAAGACAAAACATTGTTTACTTTGTTTACTTTCGCTCTTGTGTCTAACTGTTAGTGCACAGCTCTCCGAGTCCAGAAGTTCTGGGTCTTATCGCTGGTCGGAGGTCGTTGTGTTTTTGTTTGTGGAAGGGGGAGACACGATACCTTTCCCCATCTAGACTTGCCACAAGTCTGCCTTTGCTTAATCCTTCGCTTATTCATCCATTCGAGCGAAGCGACAGGGTAATCTTCGAGCGCAACAGGCCAGGGAAGAATTATTAGTTAGGACTTTTAGAAAGTCTACCCTCCATCTAGGAATATAAATGAGTACCGGCCAATGTTTTGAACAATCTGACATCAGTTGGTTGGTTACTTCATGGAAGTGCCTTCAGAATATTTTAATAATTTTAGGGTGCAATGGAGTAACATCCCATCCAGTTGGAATAGGAATTCTCTCATCTGCTTTATGCCACGGAAACCGAAATTGAACGCTTGCATCGATGAGCCTCTGGGCTCGGGGGAAAAATAAGAATTCTTCGGTCAAGTGTAATCGTATTGAGAAGAAAACAACGAAAACATACGCTTTACTATGCGTTTTTCTCAACATCGTTTTTAGTGCAGCATGCACTATTGGGATGGTTTTGGGAGCTGCGATCCGCTAAGGTACTAAGGCACTAAAGTAATTTTATTTAATTAATTAGTTTAGAGGCAAAAAAGTGGTGAAGGTGGGGTGGGACAGGTACTTGTGTACTCTACTAAAACATGTACCAGTACGTTGTTTGTTTTTTTACAGTAACTGTTTAATTTCTCGCGCACTGATTGGCTCATTTTTATCATATATAAGAGTACAGACGGATATAATTTTAATTTATGCAAGCTTTCAAGTTCAACTTTCAGCTGTCAAACTGTCAACGTTTTAACCAACGAGATTTGATTTACTTTTTTAAGAAGCCAATCAAAAAGCGAGAAAAGCTATTGACAATGTTCGCGTCATTTTGAATAAAACTCACTTATCTTTGTTTACGGCAAGTTTAC